CGCGAAAAGTATAATTATGGGATGTTGTGAATGTAAAATCGAGCATAAACGATTATGGGGAATAAATTTTGACTGTTAATTAAAGGCAGATGGTAGAATATCGAAGGTAGAAGTCGTGAAAGGTGGGTAGGAGGGACATGTATTATATCAGTGTCGATGGTGCACACCGTCACTGCAGTCTAAACGCTCCATATTGGACGCATCAGTAAAATAGTATATTATAAATTGTTTTCTGTGTTAGGTTGCCAAAATGTGCTCAGAGAGTGTCTGTGTGCGCCTGGAAAGCAGTGCAAGTACTGCACATTCTCCGATAGTCAGCGCCCAATTCTAGAAAAACTGTTGAAGCCCCAAGTTGTACGTATACTACAAAATGTTCAGGTTGTGCCACCACTTGAAACCGTTCGCGCTTCGATGCCTAGTACTTCGGCGAATGATGTATCCGTGGAAATTGTTAGCATGGGCTCGCAAACGATGCTTAACAATTTTATCGCCGACGGACAAAATGTGTCGAACGATGATGGCGACATCAACATTGAGGCATTGTTAGCATCCCTCAATCCGGACCTGGACAGTGCAACAATGATGGATGCGTACAATGCTTGGCCATCATTGGAACTGAGTTTGTTAGGAGCGAGTCGAGGCCGTCCACGTCCAGAGCCACTTCGACACCCCAAGAGTCGTTGATGTCTGCCGCGGTCGCGAGTGAACGGTATGGTGCGGACGAGGAACTATATCGCCACACGTGGATCGAAGATTTGCCGTTCACGCAACTTGAACGGGCCGCGTGTGCGCGCGACGTCGAGTTGAGAGAACCGTTGGCACAACTTCAACAGATCGCGATGGAACTCAATCGGGATACGTGGATTGAAGATTTGCCGTTCACGCAACTTGAACGGGCCGCGTGTGCGCGCGACGTCGAGTTGAGAGAACCGTTGGCACAACTTCAACAGATCGCGATGGAACTAAATCAGGATACGTGGATCGAAGGATTGCCGCTCATGCAACTCGAACGGGCTGCGAATGAGGAGGGTGGCTAGACAGTGAAGGGACAGTTAAGTTAAGAGGGGATGAACTGGTTTCGCAATGGGCATCAACTACAGAATGTGCATATTGAGGCGCTGGATCTGCTGATGTTAAGGTACTACATACCGGTAGACATGTAGAGGTGTGACAAAAAAACATGCAAAGGGTTCAAAACAACGTACAGCAGCTAAAATATTTTTTTGTTTCAGATGCGACATAAGCAGATCCACAAGATGGTGTGGTGGCTGCCGCCTCCCGTGGCCACACTGGATAACGCTAAGCGCAGCCGAATATATATATATATATATATATAATGATTTTGTTGCAGGAACAGAGTAAATACGTACACGCTTCACGATGTTCCAATGTCTAAAGTGCGAAAGGACCTTCACGGCGAGAAAAAATTTGTTGAAGCACGGTAGAGAGCGGTGCAGCCAAGATGGTGAGCCAGCATCGAAGCGCATCTGTCTTCGAGATGGAACAGGTATTGAACAATTAGAAAATAAAATCGAATAAAATCACTAACAGAATTATCTGTTTCAGCATCCTTTAACCAGGAAGGTGGTACCTCCAGCATTCCCCAATCCCCAAGTCTCGAGGACAGTAATGCATCCTCTTCGCGCCGCACTGCAGACAAGTTGCAATGTTTTCGATGTCAGCACACCTTCTCAGCACGCCATAATTTACTGCGAAATCTTAGAGAGGTCTGCATAAGCGAGAAAAGACCTTCCAAGCAACAACGTATGGAGGGTGAGATTACTAACAATGAGCCAACCTATTGCAGATTTCATCACCCAGACAGCCGCAGGTGTAAACATTAGACGAGTGAACCCTGCAACACCCCCCGTCGCAGTGCCTGGAACCAGTCGAATGAGTCCTACACCATCCGACGTCGTAGTGCCGGGCGCAAGTCGAGAGAGTTCAACCACCGGCACGATTCACAAGCGAGTGCGGGTAGCAGGACAATTCGCTGTGAGAGTTGCAGCTGTGAGGTATCGAGGAATGCACATGCGGCACATCTGAAAAGCATTAAACATAAGGCACCTCTATGGAGACCTTTACAAATAATGTGTCAGTATGTCGAAGTGCATTCCGAGGTAAAATAGTTAGTTATCAAATAACCGCTAGCATAGAGACTTTGAACGTTACTGAATATATGAATAATGTGGCACAGGACTCCATAAACGTAATTGAAAATGAGTTGCATAAGCATACAACACTCAAAATAAATATGGAACTTTTTGGTTTATATATTTTACCAGCTAAAAACTGACGAGAGGTAAAGTCCCACAATACGAACAATGTAATAATTACACAATCCTCAAATTTGAATCAAATCTATTATGATCTAGGTAGTAAAATCGAACAAAAATCGAAAGACTTTGCAGAAAAAGACTCAGGGTGGGTGTTGGAAAACATTTTATATTTAGAAATTAATATTAATAAATATAATCCGTTGAGGGCAGCAGCATATTTGCCGCTTCCTAAGGAAATCACGAACAAAAAGGCTGTACTCAACATACGTAACACGGATGAGTACTGCTTTGCATGGTCGATTGTAGCTGGTATGATAAAACCAAAGGGTCGAGCGTCACTAACAACGACATATCCACATTTTTCGAACATTCCTGGTTTAAACTTTGCAGGAATGGACTTTCCCGTTGCTCTCAAGTCAATATCAGAATTTGAAAGATTGAATAATATGTCAATTAACGTTTATGGAATAGAAAAGGAATTCATTGATGGAAAGTCTAAATATCAGGTGGTAGGACCGTTACATTACACGGCGCAAAAACAACCCACTCATCTGAACTTATTACTTATTGATGATTCAGAAGGTAACCATCATTACTGCTTAATTACCAACTTTTCAAGACTCGTTTCAAGTCAGTTGTCACTTAATACGAGAGTAAAGCATTTTTGTGATGGCTGTTTACAATACTTTGCATCAAAAGACAAACTGGAAATTCACATCCAAAACTATTGCAAACACATTTCAGTTAAGCTGCCCCAACTGGAAACCAGAGTTGATCGCCTTGGAAACACGGTAATGGATAATGTGCTGAAATTTGA